TCTGATATTTTTCCAAACCGACACGCTGTGAGCAACAGTTAACTTATCTGCATAGTGGCACAGTTAAGATTAGTAACATCTCGGATAGCGACACGGAGAGACGTTAACAGTCAGAGACAGACAGAGCGGAGCTCAGACAGTCAGTGCAGATATAACCACGGTGTTAAAATGTTGCTGTCGGTGTTTTCTGCTCTCTCTCGGTTTTTCAAAGTTACTATCATCCTCTCCACCTGAAGCTCACCTGTTGTGATAGCTGAATTTATAGGGATTAGGCTAAACTATGTTACAAAGCAGCAGGCAGGTGAGAGTGAGTAACCATGGTGACTGTCTGTCTGTCAATCAACGATGTCCCGCCCCCTCTATGAATTAAACTCTTCAGTAAAACTTACTTTGATCATGTGTCACAGAATTAACACATTTTGTATTATGTTTGATTATATATAAACTAAACTAAAGTTAGTCCAATGATGTCATAAAAAAACAACAAATGCAGAGCCTGTATGAAGCTCCAGCTGTAGGAACTCTGCAGGGCTAAAATAGAACAGAAACACAAGAACTCAAAGTCTACATGTTTTTAAATGAATGTATCACTGCATGAAAATGTTCCTGATGAACATAAAAAGAGGACACATAACTAAATCATAATTTCAAAGTGGTGAGGAAAACCTTCAAATTGTGCATAATAATTTATCAAATTGAGGGAAAGAGATTTCTGTTGCTAAAGATGTTCTGGGTGAGACCTCCAGACCTCCTACAAAGATGTTTTTCAAATAGATTAAACTTGTCTGCACAGTTTTTGTGCATTTAAAAACATTATACAGGTAAATAAGTTTGCTTGAACTGGTCAGCAACTTACAAATTTCTCTAAACAGTATGAAAAACATTGTGATAAAATCGTGATCTTGCCAAAAAAAAATCGTGATATGATATTTTTCCCATATCGCCCACCTCTATCTTCAAGAGCGGGAAAAAGTAGCGAATACTGAAATGATACACTGGCTATAATGCATGCAGTCAATATGACCGCTATGGACTTTCAAGGTAGAAATACTCAAAACTATTTTATGTTTTGTGTTTTGATAAAATAACAATGCTAGAATAAAATATAGACACATTTAGGAAAAGTCATGGTCCTGTAGTTACATAGGTTTTATTTTAAGTAAGTTATTACATTGCAAAATCAAAAAACAGTCAAAATGACTGCCTTGGTCTTTCTAGTGTTAAATAGCTATATGGCAACACACACACGTGCTCTCTCTCTTATACACAGCTTGAACACATGCAGACATAAATACAAACACAATCTCATAGAGTTACGCACTTCCCCTCTGGCTGCCAAAGTTTATCAGAAAACATCGACTCAAGAAGTACCGGAATAAACCTGGGAAATCCCACACCGGCAGAATGTCAATAACACACTCTCATGATTTCCTGCTCACTTTGCTACAAACTTTAACACATGACGCTCTTTCCATCCTGCCCATAAACCCACTCTCTTCTCACTGTGCAGAAGAGCTGGAAACCACAGAAGTCTGCAGCAACAACTGAATCTTTGGGAGTCTGACAGGACTGATAATCAGGGGGGGATTTAGGGAGTCAAATTTTTTTCATACTTACAAGTGCTTCTGTCACAGCTGAGTCTCTGCAAATACAAAAACAAACACATTATTTAACATCTTCATTCTGTAGTATCTGAAGATTAAAGCAACGATTACAGATCAAGATGTATTAGACAACAGCTACTTTTGACAAAGATATTTGATTGGACAAGAGGCATTCAGTGAGTGCTGATACAGAGCATAAACACACACTTTTTTCACTATGTTTATCACTCCATCTCAGCCAGGTATACTGAAGACTGGTTATTAATATTAAAGCAGACAGAGTTTGTCTTTGTTAATTGATCTGATACCTCAGAACCACACAACAGACTCTAATTTCTTTATATCATAATTTAAAACAAGAACAACAGTAGCAAGAGTGTTAGACAATGCCGCTCGTAAAACTGTTTTAAAAAAGCGATATCTCACTCAAGGCCCAATCACAGCAGTGCTGATATTCAGTACATTGCTCCCTCTCCAATGGGATATTGCTAATTAATATCAGGGCTTGATTCTGTGTGTGTGTGTGTGTGTGTGTGTGTGTGTGACTCACGTAGAGTCTGGCTCCTTGTCCCTCTTGCCGAGCCCGGGGATCCTGAAGGCTTTTGCGCGACTCTTCTTCCCACCTTCAGGAGCTGTCATGTACTCCTCAAAACCAACCAGAGCTGCAGATGTGAATGAATAAAAAAACATAAACACAAACACACATGTGCACCGAGGCTCTTTGAGGAAGTCAGATCACTCACTCACTGTTATAATTTGTCACAATGAATTATTCCGCCTCCACAATACTGTTTGGAGTGTGGGTGTTTTCATATTCGTATTGTTATGCAAGCTGCTCATTTTGTGTGTTTATGCTTTAACTTTACTCCAACTGGAAACCACCCAAAATATAATCCCACTGAGCTCACTGCACCTGGCCTGTCCTTGCCCGTGCCTTTCTGCTCTGCAAATTTCTGGATAAGGTTATCGATGCCGATGTTTTCCACATTCTGCTTGAACTCCTCGTGGACCTGCAGCAAAGCAGAAGAACAATGAGTATTAGGTTCTTAAAAAAGCAAGTAATGTCCATGAAGAGGCTGAGAAAATAACTGTTTCTATTATCAAAGCCTTTTGTGATAACTCTTTATGATGAAGAATCAACTTGAAGACCAACAGGATGATGTATCTAGTTTTCAATATGAGTGTCTACTGTTGGTGATAAATAGAGTCAGTAGACGTTAAAGACCTGGAGAATGGATAAATTCAGATGATTCAAAATCACTGGGATCAGAGCAGGCTGTAGCGTACCTGTCCTACTTGAACATGGGTGTCCTCTATTGAGTGGGAGTAACCTTTGATCAGCTGTTTCATCTGACGCAGGTGGGCCTCCTCAATTTCCTGAAACTTCTACTCACACAAACACACACACACAAACACACACACGCACACCATGGCAAAGAAAAGAAAACACACTGTTACCACATGAAAAGGCAAAACTCCACTACTGGCTAATTTATCTTTCTTTATTGGTTGACATCTATCGTGCGCCTTTGGTGTTCATTAAAGCTTTAAAAAATTAATTAAAAGTATAACATCAAAGTCAAACTAACATCTACTTCAAAATACAGCTGTTACTAAACTTTAAGTTACTGAACAACAGTGACTAAGCTTTAGTTAGAAGTTTTGTTTTATTCTTTCCATGACTGTGTAAAATCTTGTTTAAAAAAGGAAGCAAAAGAAATGAACAATAATTCTTTGGTCTGAGGTGTCTTTGGTTTAATGATTTTGTCCAGTTTCGTATCATTGTAGTTGTTGCTCAGTTATTTGTTGTGTACTTTGGTTGCTGTTGTAAAAAACCCATTATTGCAGTTCAACATTTCATAACCTTCAGTCAGAGTAGGTCTATTAATTCTTTACATGCAACCTAAAATGGTAAGGATATAACAAATATATTTATGTTTGCTGTTGAATGCTGTTCATTTTGGTTGTTTCTTTTGTCTCTAATTTAAAAGAAAGATAAAGTAAAAGGCCTATTTTTACAATTTACTGTCTCTACCAAACTGAAGGAGCTTCAGGAGAATTGAAATTGGTATCCATAATCCAGCAGAACTTAAACTTTCCACACCATATTCCTACATGCAGAAAGTCAAAACTGCCTTTAGAAGGATTTGGAGAATCATGTGCAGCTTCAGTGAGCCAGTCAGGCAGCAGAAGAAGCTCTGGATTGCCAGCTTCTTAAACCCGTGATAATTTGTAAGGATTTAGATTTGATCCTGTTCCTCTTTCAGCCAGCTCATTTGTCGTTGTCTGGTTCATGGGAATTGTCTTGATTAAGTGCCACTGGCTTTATTTGAGAATTGATGTCGTGAGCTGAGTTTTTGGCAGTTGCTCCTCTCTAATTAACGTGGCAAAATGTAGGCAGAGAGAGAGAGAGAGAGAGAGAGAAAGAGAGCAAACATTAAACATTCTCCCCCGATTCTTTACAGCTGCCTTCAGCAGAGCACTTTATACCCGTCCCTCTGCTGCTCTTGGTGTTGGAAAAATTCTGTCTCCCAAGTCTGTGAGCAGAAACCTCTTGCTTTCTTTAATGTGCTCAAAAACCTGAATCTTAAATATGTTGACATTATTTTTATACTTCACTTTTGTCTTGTTTTTTTTTTTATTTGCGCTTGTTTGAAGGTTCTCCTTTAAAATCTGCAGATATGTGACGAAGGCCAGCAACAAATAGCAGAATCGTTTGTCGTATGAATGTAAATAGACAAACCGGAGGACTGTTCAACAACAGGGGCTTTAACACGGGTTAAATTAAAGTTAGCACTATCCTTCTTTGATACCTAAGTGATCTACTAGTCTGCAGAAGCCATTCATCGCCTTTATTTATCAAAAGTACTTCAGGACAGCAAACCAAATCCACTCTTTTTATTGAAGCAGACGTTTCGGGTAAGGCTCTTCTTTAGTGACATGTTTGTTTGCCTGAAGCCACAGAAGAAGGGCCTTGCTCGAAATGGCCGCGGAAATAAAAAGAGAAAAAGAGAAAAAGAGTGGATTTGGTGTGCTGTCCTGAAATACTTTCGATACATGTTTTTGGTTGAGGATTCAGCACCCATGTGAGTTACTAAGGGTGAGCCTGATTTTTGGATTTACTTCCTAGCCTAGAGGTAGTTTGGCAAATGTAGCAAAACGTGTTTACCATGTGACTTTGGGCGTACCATCCTTTTTGGTTTTAAAGGTTCAAAATCCCCCCTTTTTTTAAATAAATATTGTAAATCTCTTTTGCTTGATTAATAGAAGGCAACAACATGGATTTTATTTTCCCCTGGTACAGACTAAATGCTAACCCTACAACAGGTGTGAAAGAGCCCTCAGAGAATAGATCCTGTGATCTCCTTTTGTGTTACGCGTGATGAAAAAGCACTCTTTTTTTCACTGATCTGTTCTTTATTTGATCATCCTTCATTTCTGATCTGTCCTTTGACACTTTTTGCTCCCAGGTACCACATACACTGCACCCCCTCCTCATAATTATGACCAGATCTACCCCTACAAAGCTATATCAAGAGATGATTGGTCAAAGGGATTTTAATATACAAAACACAGAGACACTCATTGGGGTTTGTTGTAGATCCCCATGGCAACAGCAGCAGTAACCATGGAGGCAGTTATTAAAGGTATTAGGTGGGGGGGCAGGATGTGTGTGTGCTTTAGTGGGTGGGTGTTTTTAGGAGTCGCAGGATGAGGTTTCCATTTTTGGGGATGTAGGATAATAAATGAAAGAAGGAGATTGGAGTTTTCATGTGATGGGAGTTCACAAAGATGGTGAGTCAGAGAGATAAAAAGACAGATAAAGCCTTTGAAAAGAAGAAACACACATGAACACCACATCAGGGGGAGGGGGAGAAAAACAAGTGTCCCTCTGCTCAACTGACCTGGGCCGACTCGCTCATCTTCTGCTCAAACTCTCCTCCCACACGGTTGTACTTCTCGATGCACAATGAGAACGACTCGGCCGCCTTCTTAGACTTCATCTCTGCCTAGTGAGAAATGAAAGGTGAAGGAGAATAATGACCTTCAGCTGTGCAGGCTCATTCACAAACCTGGAAGAAAATAAAGAAGTGCTTGGAGAAATTCTGTTTATTGGGCAAAAAATAGTTTTAGTTTTTTACCTTTAAAACAAGAACAGCAAAAAACTACACAGAGTGGAGTTATGAGAGCAGAGAAGTTCTGTTGTTTTTTGTAAATGGCCATACAAGTTGTTATTTATCAAACTCAATTAAAGACACTGCTGAGGCCATCGCAACAATGATTTTTTTTTGTCTTTATATCAATGCTACGTGCAGTTCAATAAATTAACTGCACGTTTTAAGAGCTACTGTAAATGGATGTTTGCTCAGAGAAGTAAGGTCAGGGGACATAATCCGTGTTCATTAGTTCATTGATATTAACTCACTATTTTGACAGCACTATTATTAAAATGCCACTTTCCAGTGCTGCTTGTGTCACATTCTTAACTCCACTCATATTCACTGTACTGAGGTCAAAGCAGAGACTCAAAGGCAGTGATTGAAAACATGATCAGTAGGGCACTTTACTGGCTTGTAAGAGAGCATTCAGAACCCGAGAAAAAAGAAAAAGTGTTGGCTAACTTTCTCCAGTTCTTTCAGCGGAGCTCCTTCCTTCCTCAGCCGGTCCAGCTCCAAACACTTGCCATGGTATCCCTCCTTTGACTTCTGAAGGTGACCGCTCTGAACCTGCACCGCCTGCACCGCCTCCACTGTCCCCACCATCTCCTCCTTTGTCTGGGTCATATGCAAACACACACATACATGCACGTGCAAGAAAGACAAAAAGAAAAGGCAACACATGGACAAACTGTTCAGAACATTACTGTACTTGATACTTTCAGGGAAACTGAAGCATTTACTGTGAAGGTAGAAGATGTAATGGGATTTTTTTTAAAGAATCTACTGTAACTGTCCAAGTCTTTTTTTCTCAAAGAAAGACAACCAGGAACAAAAATCATAGCAGTAAAAAAACAGCGTCCCTCATTCCGGGCACACATATAGGCTATACCTTGCGATGAATTTTGACCTGCTCGTCTCCATACTTGTTGATGTCCCGGATTAGATCGTTCATCTTTCTCATCAGCTCGAGGTGACAGAGGGCCAGTTTGTCTGAAGAAACCCGGAACACGTCCCACATGGGAGCAAAAGTCCTAGAAAACACACAACATATGCATCAAGCAAACACACACACGAGACTGTGAGGCTCAAACAGTTTGTTCATCTAAGATCTATTAAAAGTGTGAGACTATGAATATGCTTTAAAATGACTTTTTCAAGATAAACTCTTTTTCTTTTCTTATTCTGATGGCACACGGACAAAATACATGACATGACTTTTTCTTTTTTTTAAGTGACCCCCCTGAGCCTGAACAAAAACATAACAAATGCAACAAGTAAATATTTCAAACTACAGCATAAACCTGTGTGTTCATGCTGCAACGCATCAAAGTATAAAGAAATTAGAGAAAAAACATTTCAGTTCCTCTAACAGCTTAATGTCTGTGTTGATGGCTGTTATATATTTAGTCTGAACGAAATGTGTCATACAATAGATAACATATGGGCATTATTTGAATGACATATATGGACATTTGCTGACGCAGATGGTACTCATTGAATTATCATGTGTTGCCATATGTGTGATTTACATAGAAGCAAACATGTTCCAGCCATATAGATTCAGCTCTGAGGTACTGAAAGAGATGGGAGAACGGTTAGTTGGAGAAGTTCAGCTGTCTTGAGCTGAAAAGGCTCTACTCACCCCTGTGGACTTCCATTGCTTGCCATCTTTGCCAGTTTGCTCATTGATTTGGAGTACGTCTCCTCGATAGCAGCACTGCAAAAAGCAAACGCACGTATATACCGTAAGCAGAATAATAAAGAAACTCTAATGTTGGTGCAACAAGGGAAATATGGGGTTACAATGGCTACAACCAAATTCTAAACCTCCTTACTAAAGTCTAAATGACCAGTAATTGGACAGGAAGAGTGATGTTGTGTCTGTTCCTTAAAATGTAAATCCTTGTAATAGACTTTAGACTGGTGAATCTAATGCACTCCAATAGCACTTCTTCTGCTAATGGCCTCATATGTTATGTTCTCTATCTACTGCTTTCCTTTGCTCCAAACTCCAGCACGAGCCAGAAAAATAAAGATGGATGTAGGTCCGTGTTGCAATGAGTCACATGTAAATGATGAATGGACTTGTTTTCCAAGGCTGAGCATGAAACTTTAATATCCATCTGTAGACCCTGAAGAGAAAGGGGGGGGGGGGGGGGCATTGATCCAAATGTCCTGAGGGAGAGCTGATCTACTTCTACTGAAAGTCACAAACAAACACATGTTCCGACACTATCCATCTTTAGAAGTGATGCTGAAACAATACTGGAACTCAAATTCTGTCTGAAAAAAGGATAACAAATATTTTTCATTTAGATTAACTCGAAAAGTTAATGGTCAATTTTAAGAAGATATGAACAAACATCACCTGCAAAGACTCCACACTACATATTTCTTCAAAAGCTGCTTGGGATCATTCATTTATGATAACTTTTCAAACGATATGAGACGATTTGAGATTTTCAGAAATAACATAACAGACAAGTAATGTTTTAATCAAAATCCGTTTCTGTCAGGCAAAATATGACTTTAAAATATCCAGTTAGATTGTCCATTGATTTTGACCAGGAACCTAATGCTGTCTGTGTGGAAAAAAGGTGTGCTCTTGAATAACTCTGCAGCCATTCATCTCTTTGATAGATTCAGTTTTCTAATGCACATTTCTTGAGTCTTTTGAGTACCACTATGTTGACTGCTGCAACACATGTTGACTTTATTTGTTAATTATCGCCAAAATGTAACGTATTGAAAATTGGTAAAAAAAAAATAAATTAAAGTCTTGTATTTAAAGTGAGTGAAGTTCAATTTGTTGAGATGTTTGGGTAATTTTAATTGAAGAGAGGAAAGTACATATAAATAGTAAAAGGTAATTGAGACTATTTTGAAAAAATGTAAGACACTATATTCTCAAAACAGCAACCTGTAAAAAGATTAAACAAAACAAAAGTCTGTTCATTAAAAAATTAAGTTTTACTAATTGATTCAATCATTGTTTTAGCCTTAAACTTGTTATTTCAGCACACTTAATGATCCGTCCTTTCAAGAGGCAGTTCAACAGAGAGATATTATAAAGACCCAGAATGAGGGAAGATAATGTAACATGAAGCCCGATACTTTAAAAGACTGTTTCATATTACAACTTATATCAAAATGAACCTTTCCTGCAAGTGGAGCAAGGAAAGATGGAGGACATTTATCGACACAATTGCCTCACTTTGTTCCTGTGGGATGGCACACTATTTTACCCACAATGCCCCTTCTTCATTTCCTGACTGCTGATTTGTTGTCTGTTTCTGTCCCTGCAGATAAGTGAATTTCCCCCTGTGAGGAATTTGCACAGAAGGTCTGACTCTATATCAGGATTATATCACTGTTCTGATAGTGTGCTGCGTGTGTGTGCGTGCGTGTGTGCGTGTATTGTTAAATAGTGAAAACGATTTTAATAAGTTATTGTCTGCTGTTTCTCGTCGACTACTGGTTAGCTTGTCAAGCTTTCACTCTATTTAATAATAGTAATGTTTGTAGGTTAATCAATTAACTCAGGATATGGAGAAGATGTTAACTTCTAACCAGAGGCCTCTGCTATCACCTCCCATGTTGCAGCTCTTTAAAACCCAGCAGTTACAGTCATGTTAGAAGATAAAGCTCTGTATTGCAGCAGGATAATCCAGCTATTCAGGCTTGTGTGAGTTTTTGAGAGAGTGCATTTCAAAAGTAGCACCGTTGTGATGACTGGGGTCAGAGATCGGAGCATAGAGAGAGAGGACTGGAGCAGTTTTAACAAAGAGAGACTTGTTTAAGAATTCTCTCTAAAATCTGCATTCTGCTTACAGGACTATAAACTGAATTAATCATGAACACCTCTTTAGATCCACCGAGACATGAAATACTTAAAAAAATGTATTCTTGAAGTCTTTCACCCAACCTTGGCACAAACTAGCATCTTTCTTTGTACAGAGTCAAGAATGTAGAGTTTCTCCACCATCACCATCTTCCCCTCCACACAGATATTCACAAATACAAAAAAAAAAACTTACTCTCACGGACAAATCAGCAAGCTCCTTGGTTGCCAGCTGCCATGCTTCATGTTGTGGTAAAGCACGTCAAAACCGGCATTCTTCTCCCCCTGTCAGGGTGCAAAAAAAACCACAAATACACACACACACATATACCGTTCTGTTAGCACCCAAAGGAGAGCCAGCATTATGGAGAGTTTGTTTTTCAGTACAGTGATATCACAGTT